TGTGGATGAAAGCATCCGTCATCGCTTTCTCGTTTTCTCTTCTTGCCTCTGATGCCTGACAACCTAAACATTCGGTCCCTCAACGGTTTCCATGTCCATCTTGGGTGTTCGTTGTTCGCCGGCCGAGGTTGAACGGGGATATTCTCAAAATCCGAAACGGTCTTGAGGCAGTCAGAGAAGAGTTTTCGAGACTTTTTAGCGAACGGGGGATGGCCATTTCTTACTGTCTGTTGGTGCAGCCAGGTGGCCACATCTATCTTGGGCACATGCAGATTGAGGCCCATGTGCCCTAGAAGATGTATGTTTACTCCCCGAGGCGACACGTAATAAAACGACGTCGATTGTGCAAAGGGCGGCCAAGCGCGCCTACGCGGCTTCCCCATCCAACGCCAACCAGCCATAGCAATTACTCGCCACAGATGGAAGTTGATATGACGGAATTGCGGCTACTGAGAATCGCCACCTCGTGAGTGGTAGTAATTGCAAGAACGAAGGCTTCCGGGGTCGCTAGGGAAATAGTATCTTGACGCTTGATGGGGTGCGCGAATACGGTTGAATCTCACGGCGTCGAGTTAGGAGAGGGCATTCGGATGGCATCACGAGGACTTGGTCGGTGATATGAAGTTTTCGGAACTATTTACTGGGATGTTAGAGTGTAATTAGCAAAACGACGAGTAGGAACAGAAAAACATACTCGGTCTGATGGTAGCGAAGACGGCTAGAGGCGGAAAGAGTAGCCCAGTCTGGGCACTTTCTTGACCCCGTCCACCGTCTGTTTGCCGGTTGTGATCGATTCTGCGTGCACGGTGATTGTTTGGAAGACGATCCATACCATTGGAATGATGCAGCTGGGAATCGCAAAAGCTCTCGCTGTCCCTTCCCCAATCGCATTGTCAATGTGGGATTCTCCGTTGGCGATGGTGACCAATGTCTGGAAACTCGTTGTTTAGAGAAATCTGCCGAGAAGAGATGGCCAGTATGATCAGAGATGGTATCGCCAAGGCAGATCCAGAACCAACCAAGATTTGTTTGCACTGGGTTGAGTGGTGTGGAATGAAGCTCCTAGGGGCAGCATCCATAACAGTCAAGGAGTTTCTGGAGGCCCTGGATCTATTTTGACATTATCAGAAAACAAAGAGCGTGACGGCAAATTGTTAGACAAGCACGCAGTAAAAAAAAAAAAAGACCGGCAGAGACAGAGACACCTACCTGCTAGAAGCAAGATCGGGGACGTGGCAGCAGTAACCATGACAAAGGTGACGGGAACAAAAAACCAGTAGCGATGGACTCGAGCCGATGCTCAAGGAAAGCAGACCAGGTTACCCCATGGTTTCACTGCGCAAATGGTGTTTAAGGCTCTACAGCCGTCAGCACGCAAGCACAATGAAGTTTCCAGGTTGTGAAATCGCATTGTTGCTCGAAATCTAGAAAACGCACAGGGGCAAAACGCGGCATGCATCGGGTTAAGCGCAGGATATGATGTCACCTCGGGACATTTTCTTGCCGGGATTTAACCGCCGGCGCAACAAAGGAAATATATGGGGCCGTGCGCCGACCCGGATCGGAGACATGAAGTCGTGGTGTTTGACTAACGTCTGTCAACAACATTCCAAGGTCTCACCCACTTACAGGTGAATTAGACAAGATGCTATATTGTGCTGCAGTGAATGGAGGTCTGTCATATTAGTTGCACATTTTGAGTGGTCTGGTCAATGTATGCTTGATGAAGTGGTGTATATAGGTATCTTAGAGAAAGTCTAGTCTATGTAACTGAAAGCAATAACACGCTGCTGCCGAAACGACGCCCATAATCGACATCCAAACCGCATTCGCCGGTGAGTAAGGAAAAGGTATATGCCATAAAAGAAAATCTCACAGCTTAAAAGCCGCTAAGAGGGTTCGGGTTGGCTCGTTGGAAGCCGCCAACTTTTCCCCCTTGGATCGTAGGAGGCACAATACTGACGCCAGTACCAGCTGCGATGGTCTTCTGGTTGTTAAGTGTCTTGTCGCTCGAAAAATCTTGATTAATGACTCCCAACATGGGCCCCGTTTGGCAGTGGTTGCCCTTTGTCTGAGGGCAGTAGTACCAGATGGGAGAGTTGTCGACGACGGTGATCTGGTAGACGTTGGGGTTCTGGCCCTCGGCAGTGACAAAGTTGAAGCCGGCAAAGAAGCCAGTGCCATCGGCAAGGGGCTTGCAAGGATGAGCAAAGTCGGACTGAGCCAGGGAGTGGTTGGCGGCAGTGAAGTGCCACTCAACAGTGTCACCGATCTGGGCAACAACGTTCTCAGGGTCGAAGTGAAGTCCACCGCGTCCAACAACGACGGAGTGGGTCACACCAGTGAGGAAAGTGCGAGAAGGAAGCATGTTGCCCTCAGTAGGAGTGGGAACAGCAGACACGCTGGCGACGGCAGCGGCCAAGATGGTGAAGATGCTGGAAGCGTACATTTTGAAGTTTGTGGGGTGAAGAGAAGATGCGGAGAAGAGATTGTAGTGAGTAATTAATACTTCAATGGAAGTAGTTGTCGAAGAGGGAAGAGTGAGTATTAAAGGTGTGAGAGAGTAGTTGTGTTGTTGTGATGGTTGTTTGTTGTGATGATGAGAGAGTGTGATGCTTCAACGGAACTACACTTCCTACTTATACATAGGTTCGATCCAAGCTCTCTTGTGCGTTCCAAACCAACATCGTGGCTAAATTTGCAGTTTGTCCAGTACAGCCTCTCGGTTGCTATCCTAACCGAGCAAGGTGCTAGTCAGTTGGTCATCTTGGGCATTACCAAATCCACCCGCCTCAGCACTAACATCGCCATCTTCCGAACCTCTAGCTGCGCTGGGTTGAATCGTGATTGGATGTTTCACAGAACCATCCCAATTTTAGGACGTTAGCAAGACTGACCAACACGCCTGGGCTTGGGGCTGTCAGCACCATAAAGGAGCTAGCTTGAGCCTGCGCCGCCACCGGCTTGGGCTAGTTCCGTCTTTTCAATAAGCTAATTGCTGTCAGCCACATCACAGCTGGTCCTATTATTAGGAACAGGGCACTTACTAAGGCGTCGAGACCTTGGACTATGAATAAATCACCTGCGATGGAGACAACGACGCCAATCTCATTTGACAAACAGCCACAAGTGCGCTCTAGCTGCATACAGCTACAGCTCTGGCAGTAAGCTGGCATGGGGAGCTATTTGCATTGTTTTATTTTGTCTTGCTTGCTTGATGCCGCACCCGCTTTACAAAGCATTTCTAGGAATAGACACGAGAGATGCGAGGAAAACGCAATTTTACTCAACGTTGTACAAACTCGACCAACATGCGTCGCCATTGCTTGGCCGAATCCTTCCAAGTTACGGTGTACAGCCAACAGCTTCAGGAACACATTTTTTCTATACCGCTTCAACAAAAAAAAATAGAAACAAAAAGCTTCAAACCTGAAATCCCCTTCTACTTTCGTGATATTACCTCTTTTGGTCGCGACGTCATACCGCCCGCCCAGCTCCTCGGGTACCTTTTGAGTGGCGCCCAAACATCGACAAACATCTACAGCTTCATCCAAGCCCCCGAATCTTAACCGGCTTACCCACGTGGAGGCACAACACAAGTGCTGACCCCGGAGTTTACAGAGTTTTTTTGTTTCGTTTCTTCGGTTCTTAATCTAGAGCATAAAAAATCAGGCCACATGCTAGTCTCATTACAGTATTCTTCCCTAGAACTGCCATTGCTCTGCTTGGAAGTGCTGACGCCTGACTCGGAGCTGTTCGCCTTGTGGAGTAGCCTTGTGTGTCCAAGCAAACAAGAGTTCTGCTGGCGTCTTTGCCCAAAGCATCTGCAAATACGATAAGACTGTCATTTTAGCGCTTGTGCTACGAGGGACAGATCATTTAATAGTCCGTCGGGGATGGATGGGAGATGCAGCCACAAACACGGAGAGATTTCTGTTCACTGCAGCAAGGTGGAATGCCAAAACGCCTGATCCTACCCAAAGGATGACCGCCCAGCCGCCATCTGCGGAACCAGACGCAGGTCACTTTGCGGAACGAGATTGGCTTGGGCACTGATCTCGCGCTGATACCCTTGTGGTTGTATTCATGCTATGGTAATAAGGTACACTTGATAAGGCAGCCAATCAGTCTCATGCCCAGGGCATCCTCCCTGCAGGGCGAACTCGTACAAATCTTGACTAGTCGTGTGGGATTACGCTGACCAGTTCCCGCAGCCGATGCAACGCTTCAATAATTGTTGCTTCGCGGATTTGTTCTCTCGCTCCTGGAAAGTTGAACGGTCCCCAAGCACGAGTACCAGATGGTCCGGCGATTCCAATGTATACCATGCCGACCGGTTTGTTGTCTTGAGTCCCAGGACCAGCAACACCTGTCGTGCCAATCCCCCACGTTGTCTCGTCGCCGTCAATGTTGGTGATTCGGCGAGCTCCTTCTGCCATTTGCTTCGCGACATCCGCGTGGATGGCGCCTTCAAGCGCGATGAGACCGCCATCAACACCCAGGAGCTTTTCTTTGAGAGGCGTTGCATACGAGACAACTCCGCCCCGAAACACGGTGCTGGCACCGGATACAGAAGTGATGGCGGCCATGACGCCGCCGGCCGTCAAAGATTCGGCCACTCCAAGAGTTTGACCTGCGTCTTTGAGCTTCTTGACTAGGTCGGATGCAATATCATACACGGTTTCCGTGCTACGTTGGACTTTTGGCGACACAGACTCCATGCTTGTCTATCAAATAGGTGGGTGATGCAAATTGAGTGATTGAGATAATAATATAGTTCGCGACAAGTACTCTTCTAACAAGTAGCATCTTCTCTCGGAAATTGTTACAACAAGTTTTACCATGGCCTTTATACAAGACATTCGCATCTCGAGGAACGGAGTCCTAAGAGCAGCCGCATCGCAGGGAACGGAGTTCTAAGGACAGTTTGATGGGCTTTTTGCTGTTGCCTATAGGCCTCTATTCTCACCTACACGTAGCCACAAGAGAGCCAGAATCCTGCAGCCTTGAGATATGGATTTGCCAAGCAGAGCCCCAAAATTGCTAAACAGCATCTCGTGTCCCCAGTTTAATGATGATAACAACACATGTTCATAGTCTTTTCCTCTCAAAGCCCTTGTCAAGCGGCGATAACACCTTCAAGCAAGTTTAACAGCAACACAACATTCCGAGCAGGAACTCCATCTTGTGATTATAATAGCCCACTAGGACTGGAAAGTCGACCGCGGGGAGGCGAACAAGCAGAGATCGAAACAAGCGAGACCGCAAAATAAATAAGTGCATACATTCAGCGGTATAAGCACCTACTCGGCTCATCAAGTGGTGCTTTTATAAGGGAGCCCTATTCCGCCAGCACCCGAATCTTACCATAACTACCTATACTAGCATTTACTATAAACATATAGATAGGGTAGCAGGTACTACAGAAATATAGATATAATAGCAGATAGTTGAGAAAACAGTTGTATAATTTAATGCGCGGGGGTTTCTGTCCTCCGCTTGGCGGGGTCTACCTCGCCTCAGCCCTTGTTCAACTTCCGACAGGGAGACATCTAATCAAATTAGGCAGACCATCTTTCGAGGGTCCCTCTACGGTGTCACTGCATTGTATATGTAAACACTCGAGGCTTGGCACGATTTCAGCCTTAAAGTCACTATTGATATGCATATGCCAATCTGTCCTTAAACTAGGGTCAGTTGCTGCCTCTCAGATTGACTCATAAACACGTCCAGTTCAAAACACGTTGCGTTAACTCCTATCCTTTCGTATCGGAGAGGCGCCCCATCAACATGGCGCAAGAGGAGGAGGTGCGTCGTAATAGTCTCAGCGCTCTCCCCCGACTCGTCCCATTCGGAAGAGGTGGTTCGACCAAAGAGTAAACACAGAACTTGTGAGCCAGAGGGGACAAATCCTTTCCCGGGTACGTCTAACTTGTAGTCTGGGTTAAAAGTGGCAAATTGTCCCCCAATCTGCAGCCCATAATCTTCCGTAGCTCTACTGTCAGTCAAAATGCTGGACGTACCCGAGGCATCTTTTTGTGACTCCGAGATGCTTTTCCATTCTCGACCGTGGTATACAATGCCGGAAGCAACGTGTCCGGAGAGCGACACCATCCCGCTCACCACATCGCCTAAAAGAGGATCACCAGAATACTGCACATCGTTTCCCAAAAACTCAATGCCTTCCAGAGATACTTGCCAGCACTCAACATCTCCAGACACGGATGCCCATGACCATGTCGGCATACGCATATCAGGCCTTGGATGAAGAGGAGGCTCGCTGAGATACCAGAAGAACGTCTCTTCAAGCTCCTTCTCCCAGAATCCACAGAGATACTCTGCCGGATCGTAATCTTTTGCTGATGCAATCGCCTTACCGATCCCTGCCAAAGCTGGAAGTCTATCGGTGGTGACCGTAAGCGGACGCTTAGCATAGCCTTTAATTACTTGGGACCATGATTTGGTTGCGGGAGATCGCTTATACCAGTCTCGAGCGCCGAAAATGCGCGTATTGGTGTCATACCATCCGCATTCGCACCGAGTTTCCTCAAAGCATTCCCATATGAGCTCGTTTTGCGTAAAGTGAAGCATCCGGCGTGACAACAGCTGCTCCTGATACACCCAGCCTCGGTTCAAGAGTGGCCACTCAATGTCAGGATTCTCGGCGGCCATGGTATCGGCGCTGGATTCAATGCCGAGCCAGGTGAAGTGATGCTTCCTACGACGTATAAAGATAGACTGGCCATCTATTTGGGCGACATCTACGGATATTTCCTGAGGCATGCTGTGATCTCGAAAGAGACTTTGATCGGACTGGTCGCACCACGAAGCCGCCACAGTAAGTTCAGCGTTTGTATAGATGGAGGCCATCAGCGCTGCCTCTCGTTTCCAGTCGTCTTTGTCATCCTGAATGATGCATAAGCAATCAATCCATATGTACTCAATGCCTAATCGACGTAGCACAAGTACGACATCCTGCATCATCCGAGGCAGATATGCTATAGGCATGCCATTCTGCTTCCGATCCAGAAAGTTGGAGGTTAAGAGAGACTTGGACGGCGTTTCTTTTGTCCACCTATGGCTCAGGGCGGCGTAGGGTACAGGAGCCGGCTTCTCGACGAGCTCGAGAATATTACTGTCTGTCCGGCTGTCTCCTAGATAGAGTAACCGATTAGGCACAAACTCCGCATCGCTGACTCGACATTCCCCATGAGAAGTCCGACACTCCGTTAGCCACTTTGCTGCCTGATCGAGAGCTTCGTTGTCTCCAGTCGTGCGTGAGAGCTTGTAGCCTCGGCACAGCACGACGTGCGGTGAGGGATCATCCGCAAAGAACACCGGCCTGTCCAACGGCGCCTCGCTACTACAAATCTCAAAGACTTGGCTAGTACCATCGGCACTTGTAATCTCCAGAAGTGGACTTCCCGGTGAGTTTAGGTGCGGCTCCCACCTTGCCACCTCGAAGCCAGCGGCTCCAAAGCTTTCAAATGCCGAGGCGAGAGCCTTGCACCGATCACAGCCGCGCTTGGAGGACTTGATTAAATCTGCATAGCTAAACTCGTGGTCATCGCTCTCTGCAAATGCGTACTCGTACCGGCCGCCTATGTCGGATGAGAGTGATTTAGCCGTCGGATTGAGCTCAAAGAGACAGGCACCGCACCACTGCCGTTCTTTCTTCGGCAACAAAGACTTGAACAAATCGAGCATGGTTTCTGATTTTTGTCTGTATCCGGACTTTCACATCCAATGAGAGTC